CTACAACTCGATGTGCCACGAATACCTACCACGACTACCCTACTACCGCTACTGCTAGGAGTACCTCTAACACTCCATGTACTTATGTTACCCCTACGACGCTACTTCTGCTACTACGGTTACTACCACTACTACTACTACTACTACTACTACTACTACAACTCCTGCGACTACTAGTACGACTACTATTACTCTTGCGACCACTACTACTATCACTACTACGAGCGATAAAATCCGACCCAATCTACGAAAGTACTACTCACATCACTACGAGTACTACGACTATCACTACGGCAACGATTACCAGCAGTAGAAGTGCAACTACGACTGCTACTTTTGCTACCACTACCCACGGTACTGCCAATACTACTACCACCACCACTAGTACCACTACCACCACTACTACTACTACTACTACTACTACTACTACTACTACTACTACTACTATTACTACTCCGGCTACGATTACTACGACTATACGACGACTACTACTGCACTGCAACTACCACTGCTACTACGACGACGACGACGACTACTACTACTACTACTACCACTACGACTACTACGATTACTAATGCTACAGCTGCGACAACTACTAGTACTTGTACGACGACTACGACTACTCGTAGTGCCATTACTACTGCTACTACTACTACTACTACTACTACTACTACTTCTACGGGTACTACTACTACTACTACTACGATTACTACAACTACTACTACTAGCACCGCTACTACGAGTACTCATACTACCAGTAGTACGACTACGAATACTACGACTGCTACTACTGACACTACTACTACTACTACTACTACTACTACTACTACTACTACTACTACTACTACTACTACAACTGCTACCCATCGTACTACTAGTACTACCGCTACCACAGCTCCTACTACTACTGCAAAGACTTCTACTACTACTACTACTACTACGACTACTACTACTACTACTACTACGACTACTACTACTACTACGGTTACTACTACCTGCAATACGTATAACACGCGTACCGATACTACTACCACTACTACTACTACTACTAGTACTACTACTACTACTACTACTACTGTCGATACCTTTTTACGACGGCCGTTATACTACCACTACTACTGTTACTACTACCATTACTACTCGCACTTCGACCACAACCACAACTACTCGTACGAATACGACTACGACTACCACTACAAATAGTATTACTAGTACTACTAGGGCTACAACCAGTACTACCAACACTACAACGATTCATACAAGTACGCCCACTACGAGTACTACCACTACTGCTACTGCTACTACTACTACGACAACTACTACTAGACCCCTACTAACATGTATAGTCGTAGTACTTCTACAATAAAATACGGTCACTGCGACAAATACACCCACAACTACCACAACAACCATTACTACTACTACGCCGCCCGCAAATAACGATTACTACGGCTACTGCGACTACTGCTACAAGAAAGGCGACTGCCAACACTACTCACACCTCCAACTTGTACTATTACCACCACCACCACAAAGACCACTACCACGAGTGCTGCCAATGCTGGTGCTAGCTAGTACTAACCCTACTAAGACTATTACTGCTACAGCAACAACAACAACAACTACTACTACTACTACTACTACTACTAGTACTACTAGTACTACTAGTACTACTACTACTACCACCACTACCACCACTACTACTACTACTACTACGATTACTACTACTACTACTGCTACTATTACTACTACTACTACTACTACTACTACTACTACTACTACTACTACTACTACTACTACTATTAACACCAATACTACTACTACTACTACTACTACTACTACTACTACTACGACTACGACTACGACTACGACTACGACTACGACTACTACGACTACGACTACTACTACTACTACTACTACTACTACTACTACTACCACTACTACTACTACTACTACTACTACTACTACTACTACTACTACTACTACGACTACTACGACTACGACTACTACTACGACTACTACTACTACTACTACTACTACTACTACTACTACTACTACTACTACTACTACTACTACTACTACTACTACTACTACTACGACTACTACGACTACGACTACGACTACGACTACGACTACGACTACGACTACGACTACGACTACGACTACGACTACGACTACGACTACGACTACGACTACGACGACTACTACTACTACTACTACTACTACGACAACCGCATTTACGACCACGACTACCGCTAATAGGACATGCGAACGATCACGCAAATATTCGATACGAACGAATACGATGGGAGGCCACGGGAAGCCCTTCGCCCGACCGATATCGGACGCAGCAGCGATTTTGACGTCAACCTGAACAAGTGACATGGGAAACGTACACACAAACGGCTTCGGGAAAAGTGCATGTAAAACCCGATCGTACAATATGTGTAGGCCGCAAAATGTGGGTCCGACGCGCGCACAAACCACACCCATCACCCATTTCCTTGGTTCCCTCGACCTCCCCGCAGTCCTACCGCAATGGTTCCCTTCGATCACTCGCCGCTTAAGACTCGAACCGCGTCACCTGCCCCGCCTGCTCCGACGCGAGGCAAAGCCGCCTCACACGCATGCGCAACTGCGGGGCTTAGGTATATATCAATGGATGGAGGTTCGTACGCGTGCCCGTGGACTGGAAACACACATGGCTGGATCCACATGCGGGATACGCGGGGGCCACTTGTTGAATGCGCGCGCGGTGCCGGGCAAAAGGAAGGCCGACCGCTCGAAAGACACGCGGGCACGTGTCTTCCCAGCGCTCTGGGGCCATGTCGTGCGCATCCAATCCCATGGTAAAGAAGCCGGGGTGAAAAACTTCTGGTCGGGTCACGAGGCTCGCGCTCATGTTGTGCGCTGGGTACCGGTGCGTTTCGAACTGCTCGCGCGATGCCCAAACATGCGGCGTTTCGATTTGTTCGAAGCGCGCCCCCATGACCGGCCATCGAACCCAGGCGTACCTTGACGGTCTTGACGCCTGGTGGGGGCTCCGAAAGGCCGGACACTATACGCAGATGCATATGTATACGCATATGTATATGTGTGTGTCCATGTATGTGTGTACGCATATGTATATGTAAACATACAAACATATACCTATGTACACGTCGCTCGTACACGGGAATGCGCCACAAGGGTCCAGATGGGCCTAGAAGGGCGAACGTGGCTGATGAACCAATGCCCGTGCAGCGCGGCGACTTGCATAGTGATGGCTGGCCAACTCCTCCTCTGACGCCTGAGGGCTAGGCTCAGCAGCTGTGCGAGTCTCAGCAAGAATGTGGCATGCGCGCGCGGTCCTTTCTACTCGGGGGCGGGATCCCTGTTGAGCTAGCTCTTGACGATGGGGCACAAACACTTCGGAGGCTGCTCGGTTTGCCGCTAAACTGGGCAACGAACGTAGCGGGGCATCTAACCTCGACACTGCGCGCACCTGAAGCGGCAAGCTCTTTGGACATGACTATGGAGGCGGGCGCCTGCGAGCCACCCCCACACCACCACCGGTGTCTTAACGACCGCGCTCGGCCAGGCAGGAGGGCCCCGTGCTTTGGCGAGGGCCCGGCGCGGTTCCCAACGCAAAACAGGACGCGGAGGGCCCCGGAAGGAGAGAGGCTTAGCGAGAGCGACGTGGAGGACATCGGGGACGGGGGGGGGCTGGAAGGGGAGGGGGCGGACTCTCTGCGCGCGCGCCCGCGCGCCCAGGCTCAAAGCGTTTAGCAGGGGTGGCGGGCGCGGCGGCAATCTGCCCCTTCTTTCGGGAAAGCGGCATTCTGCGGCCTCCGCAATGCGCGTGGCCGGCGGCTGGGGCGCCCGGTGCGCCGGCGACGCCCAAACGCCGCCGGTCTCGAGGGTGGCCTCGCGCAGTTCGTCCAATGGGCCGCGCCAGTTGGCGATGATGCACCGCGTCCTGGTCGCAGGACTGCGGGCCGCCGCGCAGCCAAGGCGAACCAACGACTACTCGCCGAGGCCTGCCGGGAAGGTCGCCGAGGCCTGCCGGGAAGGTCTTGCGCCGCGCCCAGTTCTCGAGCTCGCCGGGGAAGGCGGGCGCAGGCGTCAACTGCACGACGCAGCTCCGTAACTCCGCTCCGGGAGCATTTTCGAGTTGCCCAGCAACGTCGCCGAGTGGGTGGGCGCGTCTTGCCGAGCCAATTCACGAACGCGAACGCCATGAATCCATTTGGCCCTGGGCTTCTGCCGCGAAATCGCCGGATCAGCAACGGGGCCAAGATGCGCGGAGGTGCTCCGCGTGCGGGAAGACCGCCATCTGGGCCAATCCAGGAATATAAGTAGCCAGCCACATGAGCGCGTCGCTGACCAGCTCCTGGGCAAAACGGCCGCAAAGAGGGACGAGCCAGCATTTGGATCTTTCAAGCGCAGGCCAGCCAGCGATTCAGCGGCGCGAGGTGCTCGCCATATGCGCCGGAGAAGTCGACGGTCTTGAAGTGCAGAGCTGACGTCGTCGACGGCGGCGTCCGGCGCCGACGCGGCAAAGGCGGCCGGGAGATCCTCCGCGCGTCGCGCGACAGCGGGCAGCCATGGGCGATGCCCGAGAAGATGGGCACTTGCGCTGCGATGCCGTCGGCGCGCGCGAACGCATGCGGTGCCCATCGCATTTCCATGATGAGATTGAAGAGGCCACCCGCGCAGCTGGAGTCTCATGGCCACCAGTAAGACGACGAGGTGAGCGATGGGAAGACGTTGCCTAAGCCGAAGAACGCCATGAGCGGACGTCGCAGAACGCGATGGTCAAAGGGCCCGACCAGTCGAGCACGCGCTTCCAGCGCGGTGATGTTGTCCAGGCAGGAGGTCGCGCTGGACTTCGGCGAGCCCTGCTCGATGATGCCCTCGATCTGGGCGTTGGCGCTGGCGGCCAGGAGCTGCGCGCCCGAGCTCTGGGGAGCCAGCGGGCGCGCCGCGGCCGCAGTGCCCGTCGGGCCCTGGGCGACGTCGCCGTTCTCGGTGCGCTTTGGAGGGGGGGGGGGCGTGAAGAGGTCGTTGGTGTCCATCAGAAAAGGCGGTCCCATGGCCACCCCGACGCCGACCATCGCGAGGTCCACGAGGGCGCGCGGGTCGCCGCGGCATCTCCAGGCATCGCACGAAAGGCCGCCAGGGCCCGGGGCCGAGGGTCGAGCGCGCTCAGCTGCGCGAGCACGGCCCTGGGCGCAAGTTAGCTGAACGTCTCCGAGGCCAGGTGGAGCGACGCAAAGTGCCTCCAAGTGCTTCTGGGCCAGCTGGTGCGCGGGCGGCGCAGCTTGCAGGACTGGCGACCACTGGGCTTTGAGCTCCATGACGATGTTCACCTGCGCGCCAACCTCCCTGCCCTTTTTCTGGCTATCTGGCGAGCGAAGGCACTGGGGCGAGGGCCCTCCTGGACGGCGTCCAGAGAGCCGCTTGGCGCCGGTGGGCTCGGCGCATGAGATGAGGTGGCGGTGGGGGCGCGAGCTAGGGCGCTCGAGCTCGGCGATCGAGATCACGTCGCTCGCAGCGCGCGTTCTGCTCGGCTGCGGACTCGCGCTCGCTGGCCTCGGGGCCGATGGGCGAGGCGGTCGCGGCGGAGATGTTCAGGTGTCCAGCGGCCGAGGATGAGGCATCATCTAATCGGGAAGCCACTTCCAAGCCACCCCGCCAGACAGCGCGAGCATGGGCCTAAGGACGAGGATGTGGGCGCCGTTCGCGCGGGCACTGCTGGGCGACCTGTCCCAGACGCGGCGAGCAACCCCCTTCGCCAATCGCTTGTGCACCGCGCGCCCGGGGCGCGCCCCGGGGCGCGCGGGCGGGGCGCGCCGCGGCGCGCGCCTGACCGGCGGCGCGCGCAGCTCAGGGCACTCGGGGCCGCGGAAAACGCGCCTCGGGATCGGCTGGGCGTCGAGAGCCACGCGATGTCAAGAACTGATTGCGATCATCAGCGGCTCATGATCGCTGAGCCCGCTCCACTCTCGTGAAGCATGCCAGGGAAGTCCATGGCGATGCCCGCGAGATGCCGCTGGGTGGTAAGCCAACTGGGCGCCGCCAAAAAAGGCCCTGTCGATCTGCGTTCGCGTGGGGGCGGCCCCCCCTGCACGTCGCAGCGGGCGGGAAGCTCGTTGTCGATCTCGACCAGGTCGTCGAAGATGTCCTGCCAGCGGCGCTCCGGCGGTCGAGGTTCCCGGCCCAGCTGCGAGTCCGTCGTTGACCTCGAGGGGGGGCGCCGCATGGACATTCATGTCCCCGAGAGGCAGGATGGTGGCCATCTTCGGCGTCATGCGAGCCATGGCCACGTCCGAGCGCAGCCGCGCGGCAATTCGGCCCCTGTCAGCGACGGCGAGGCCGATGTCGAGGACGCGATAGGTGGCGACCGATCGCGTCAGGGATGCCGCTGGGCAACCAGGGCCAGCAATGCAACGTCACCGAGCACGACCAGGAACGAGAATCTCATGGGCGTAGCGCGCCTTGTCGGCGCGCGTCGTCGCGCCCGAAAGCCCAGTTTGGTGGGGGTCAGCGCTCGGCCGCGGGCCCAAATCGTTCTGTCTTGATGTGTGAAGTGGACGCTCGGACTCTCAGGCGATGCTGAACAAATTCCGGCGGAGGCTCAATTTCCGAACCGTGGGGCCCCTGAGCGCGCGTGGCCGTGCCGTTGGCGAGGTACGAGCCCAAGTATTGAAATTTCCGATCACGAAGCTCGACGCTGTGGATAAATACGGCACGCGTACCAGGCACCGTAGCTCACGCAAGCCCGATGCCCAACAAGCGATCTCCAAGGCGCGAAGTGGGCGTGACATAAACCGCGGTCCGCTCAGTGCCGCCGACGACGTCGTCCAACTGCTGCGTGCATCGTCTTTGCGCAAGCCAGATGCAGTCACAACTCTATAGTTCCACTCAAGAACCGTAAGGTCCTCCGCGGTGTCTCCAACCAGCACCTTGATGACGGGTTTGTTGCAATTGCTGATGGTGCTGGTGCAGCAGTTGGCGCGCTGGCGGCTCTCTCCACTGTGGGGGGCCTGACGAGTTGCAAGATGCAGTTAGTCGGATACTCCCCGCTGGTAGTTCGCGGGGACTTGCCCGAGCCAGCGAAAATGCTGGCGTCCCCATCGTCGAAGGAAATCTGCGGTGAATCGCCTCAGCTGCCCGTCCTTCTTGAGATGTCGGAAAGCAGTTATGACCCGCTTGGCCGCGAGCCCAGCGGCGCCGTTCACGCGGATGATGTGGCGGCGACCTGGAGACGGGCGCTCGATGTCCCAGCTCTCATAATTGAGCCCCGCGCCCTCGAACCACGGATGAGCGCTCTGGATGAAGGCGTCGGCAGCGACGGCCTCCTTGCAGCAGGCAAAAAACATTTTTTGTTGGAGAGGCACGTCCACTCGCAGAATTCGCCTCCTCACAGACAGCCAGCGCCATCTGGATGTCCTCGATCTGCGCGCGCATGTGGTCCGGGTCCTGGACGCGGCAGTCGACGCGCGCGCTGTTGGCGACCTTGCGATTGCCAGACAAGTGGAGCGCGACCGCGGTGTTTTCGATGCTGTTTTCACTGAGGGTGGCGTTCGCCCTCTGGATAATGCCGACGATTTGTTCACGCATTGCGCCCAATATCCCCCCCCCCAGCGAAGAATTCAGCACAGGACCGTCGACGGCAGCTACAGCCACCACGCAAACACCAAAACGTGGTGAAAGCGGTGCGCGTCTGGGGCGGCAAATGCGCGGAGTTGCAGGAGCTTCGGCGACTGGAGCAGGGGGGGCCTCGCGATCTCCAGGGCGTGGCCGCCAAGGATCAGCATCAGCATGGAAAAAGGAGCAGGGCCGCGCCCTGCTGCGATCATCTGTCGCGCGAGCAGCCTTTGTTTCATGAGCCTCCTGCGATCGGTCGCTTCGGCGCGAAGCATCATTTTCGCAAGCTCGCCTGTGAGAAGAACACCCATCGCCGAAGGGTGCGCGTTACTTGGCAGGTCGCGAAGGCGAAAACCTCAATTCAACATGTGGCAGGAGGCCGTGTGCACAAAGAAGGTGACCCAGAAAACCGCGGGGGCACCCAATAATGTGGTCGGTGTGGGCCGCGACTTCCGCGCGCAAAGCCTGAGCGAAACGCTCTGGACTTGAGCCAAAATGGGTACGGATAGTTATACGTGTAACTGTATTTCTCCACACATACACACATACATACATACATACATACATACATATATGTATATATGGCGGTCTGTATATAAAATTATGTGTATATACATGTGCATGTATATACATTTACATTATAGACACCGCGGTTCTAATTATATATGGATATGTATATATATATATATATGAGTGAACCTGTATATACATATATGTGTACGTTTACATACATATATATTTATGTATATATAAATGTCCATATACAATATATATATATATGTATATATGTATATATGTAACCCCATGCTCACGAGAATAAGCACTATGGGATAGTAAAGTTCGGGGTTCAGGGGGAGATAATCAAAGTAGCCCACCAGACCTCAGCATAATCTCGAAGTAAGAAATGATCAAGAGGAGACCAAACCGAGCACGTTTTGAGACATCCTTGGCGTTTAGTCTTCGTTAAAATATCCTCAACAATGGCTTATCTCGCTGGAGACATCCTCGACCAATCCCTTGTTTCGCTTGAGACATCCACAAACTATTGCTTATTTCGCTTGAGACACCGTCAAACTATTGCTTATTTCGCTTGAGACATCCTCGAAATAATTGTGTTTTTCGCTTGAACATCATCAAACTATTGCTGATTTCGCCTGCGCATCCTGAAACTATTGCGTATTTCGCTTGAGACATCCTGAAACTATTGCTTATTTCGCTTGAGACACCGTCGAACTATTGCTTATTTCGCTTGAGGCATCCTCGAAATAATTGTGTTTTTCGCTTGAAGCATCCTCAAACTATTGCTGCTTTCGCCTGAAACATCCTGAACCTATAGCGTATCTCGCTTGAGACATCCTGAAACTATTGCGTATTTCGAAATAGAGAGAGAGAGAGAGAGAGGTGAGACTCTCTCTCTCTCTCTCTCTCTCTCCCGCCGCGCGCTCCTCTGAGGTTTATTATCGTCGGCAATTTTTTTATCATCGGCTGAGGTTTATTATCGTCGGCAGTTTTTTATCATCGGCAGTGGTCAATCGCAACTCCTGAGCTCTCCCGGAAGACGGCGGCACGCAAATGATACGATTTTTTTGAAAAGCTTCATTTTGAAAAAAAAAAAAACTTTTTAATTGCGCCTTCCATTGTAATCCTTTCAAAATTGCGAAATCGAGCCGCCAGGCGCCTGAATGCCACATTGAGTTCGAGATTTAAGCACGCGACGCATTTATGAGAAATTTGCGTCGCACGCGCTTTTGCCCGAATATCGAACGCAGTGTGGCATTCAGGCGCGTGCGGGCCCGAATTCGCAATTTCGAAAGGATTTCAATGGAATTCGCAACCAAATATAGCTTTTTTTGTCAAAATAAGGTTTTTCAAGAAAATGCGTGTCATGAGAAAATTGCGTCGCACACGCTTTCGCCTAAATCTCGAACGCAGTGCGGCATTCACGCGCCTGACGGCTCGATTTCGCAAATTCGAAAAGATTTAAATGGAATTCGCAATTAAATAAAATATTATTTTTTCAAAATGAAGTTTTTCAAAAACATGCGTATCATTTGCGTGCCGCCGTGTTCCCGGAGAGCTCAAGAGTTGCTATCGACCACTGCCGATGATAAAAAACTGCCGACGCTAATAAACCTCAAGAGGTTGTGCTGAGGGGTTGTGCTGCAGGGTTGTGCTGGAGGGTTGTGCTGGAGGGTTGTGCTGGAGGGTTGTGCCGGAGGGTTGTGCTGGAGGGTTGTGCTGGAGGGTTGTGCTGGAGGGTTGTGCTGGGGGGGTTGTGCTGAGAGAGAGAGAGAGGGAAGGAACAACAAAAAGATAATACATATATTTTTTAAAAGGAAATATAAAACACATTGCGCAGAAAAAAAGAAACTTACAAAAAAGAAGAAGACTAATAACGAATAATAAGAATCAGAGAATATATAAAGAAAAAAGACAGATAGAGGAGGAGGAGGAAAAACAAAAATTTCAAGTTTCAAATCCATCAGATGTTATGTAGAAGCGCTTTATGAAAATTGAGAAAGAGAGAGAGAGAGAGAGAGAAAAAAGAAGAGGAGATCATGAAAAGCAAGAGAGGAAGGAGAGGAGGGGAGGAAAGGAGAAGACAGGGGAGGAGCAAGAGGAGAGAGAGATAGAGAAACAGAGAGAGAAAAAAGACAGAGAGGAAATAATATAAAAAACCTATCATATTTTCCATGGGTAATCAACCCCAGGGATAAACAAGCTCAGGGGGGCATGGGGGGGAGACAGACAGAGATATAGAAAGAGATAGAGAGAGAGAGAGAAGAAATCATGAAAATGAAGAGGAGAAGAAAAAATCAAGAGGAGAAGTAGAAGAGGAGAGGCAGAGGAAAAGCAAACAATTCAAGTTCCAAATCTATTATATTTTATTTACAAACGCTTTATGATTTTTTGGTACAAAAAAAAGTGCTCGTGTAGGAGCTCAGGTGCCTCACTTTCCGTGGACAATCAACCCCAGGGATAAACACGTTCAGGGGCGCATGGGGAGAGAGAAAGATATAAAGAGAGAAGTCAAGAAAACAAAGAGAGAGTTGAGGGAAATACATAAAAGAAATACTGAAAAAGGAAAAGGACAAGAAGAAATGAGGAGGAGAAGTAGAAGAGGGGAGGAAAGGAGGATAACACAAAAAAACTGAAGATTCAAATGTATTTTTTTATTTACAAGCGCTTTATGAACATAAAAAAATGTTTAAGTGCTCGTGTAGGGTAGCTCATGTGCCTCACTTTCCGTGGATAACCCACCCCAGGGATAAACAAGTTCAGGGGGGCATGGAGAGAGAGAGAGAGAGAGAGAGAGAGAGAGAGAGAGAGGAAAAAAGAAAGACATAAAGAAATATATAACGAACTAGAACTAAAAAATAAGACAAACGAAGGAGTAGAAAAGAGGAAGAACAAGAGCAAAAATTTCAAGTTCCAAATCTATTAGATTTGATGTACAAACGCTTTCTGAAAATTGTTGTTTTTGAGTGCTCGTGTAGGGTAGCTCATGTGCCTCACTTGCCATGGATATTCAACACCAGGGATAAACAAGTTCAGGGGGGCATGGGGAGAGAGAGAGGAAACAAAGAAAGAAATACAGAAATATATAAAGCAATAAAAATATAAATGAAGAAAAAAGAAGGAGAAGAGAAGAGGAAAAAAAAGAGAAAACATTTCAAGTTCCAAATCTATTAGATTTAATTCACAAGCGCTTTATGAACATTGATTTTGTTTGAGTGCTCGTGTAGGGTAGCTCATGTGCCTCACTTTCCATGGGTAATCAACCACAGGGATAAACAAGTTCAGGCGGGGAGAGGAGAGGGAGATGGACAAAAACATAGAGAGAGAGAGAGAGAGAAAGAAACAAAGGAAAAAAAAAGAAGGAACAATGAAAGAAAGCAGCAATCAAACAATGAAATATGATGTATTTCGCTTGAGACATCCTCAAGGTATTGCTTATCTCGCTGGATACATTCTTCAAATGATTGCTTGTTTCGCTTAAGACATCCTCGAGGCAGTCTTGAAACACCTTGAGACCTCCTTGAGACATCCTGGAAATAATTGCTTGTTTCGCTTGACACATCCTTGAACAGTTGTTCATTTGCTAGAGACATCCTTCAGTATATGCTTGTTTCGCTTGAGACATCCTCGAGTATATGCTTGTTTCGCCTGAGACATCCTCGACAAGCTTCTCGAATCGCTTGAGACATCCTCGAGTATATGCTTGTTTCGATTGAGACATCCTCGACAAGCTTCTCAAATCGCTTGAGACATCCTCGACTATATGCTTGTTTCGCTTGAGACATCCTCGACAAGCTTCTCGAATCGCTTGAAACATCCTCGCAAAATTGCTGGTTTCGCTCGAGACATCCTTGAAACATTGCTCGTTTCGTTTGAGTCAGCCTCCCAAAATTCTTGGTTTCGCTTGAGACATCCTGAAAAAGTGTGATCGCTTCGCTTGATGTTGCTATTTCAACATAACTTGATCTTGCTATCTCAACATAACGTTCCGAGGTGATAATGAAGTTTGGCCTCCGCGCCACGCGCCCCCGACCAAACTCTTATTGGCCGACGATAAAAAACTCTAACGACTTAAGGGGGAGGGCATTATTATCGTGGGCGTAGGGTTATATATATATATATATATATATATATATATATATATATCCGGATGTCTGGGTACTGGGGCGTAACGGATCACGCTGCACGTCTGTGATACCGTGTGCCGCGGCGGACTGTGGCGCGCGGTGTCGCGGCGCTGTGGCCTCGCGGCCAGCTGGTGGGGCCAAAATTGGGCGGCCCTGGGACCCGGTCGCTGCTGCCTTTCTGCTGTCCTCCCAAAACGTCGGGCGTCCCGACGAAAACGGGAC